GCAAGCTGTGAGAAGACCTGACATCATTACATTCTCATAAGCTTTACTCCATACAACCCGATTAAAATTCTCGTACATGGGAACTGCGTTGGTGAGTGTAAAAGTAGCATCTCGTCCTTCAGCAAATTGGAAGCAGTTGAGATTGAGGTGTCCTTTGTCAAAACCAGAAGCGGCATAGTCACAGTCTGTCGCTTGGCTGTCTGTAATGAGCTGGCAAAGATCACTGTTTGGCCTTGGCTTGTGTTCAGAGTTATAGAGGTGTTCCATTAGCATCATTTCTGGTGGCCGGTTGCTGTAAGTGAGCTGAAAAACATTAAACAAACAACCTGTTACGTTGTACAAAACAAGAAGTCTAAATATGCAGGGTCTTGGCATGCTTACAGAATGACTAATCTGTTATATGTATGTATAAAATAACTTTATTGTTATAATTATAATTTTATTGATACTTTAACAGCAGGATTTTCAAATTGTAATGTAATACTTTCCCTATGACTAAATATACGCAAACGTTCTGTGCATTTGATTAGAAGGACTTCTGTTGCATTTTGTGGCAGTTTGGGAATGCACTTAGAATTAGATTTCCATCTAAATTCACACAATGAAGAAGAAAAGGAGAATTACCTGTGGTTCAATAAACCACTCTTCCCTCCTAGAGAAAAGGCAGGGCAGTGGTCCCGGGGTGAAGATGAATGCAGAATAGACAGGAATGCGATTTTTTCTGTCATACAGTGTTGCAAAACGGGCAAACTTGCCATAGACCTGGCATATGCATGCAGGTCTGTTAGGCTCCATTCCGATCGGTTCCAGAAAGCTTTTGAAGAAAAAGGTGCAGTTTGAGGTGAGGAAAGTCTTAACTACCTCTCCGCTTGTTTGCAAAGTTTCCAGGAAAGAACACAGCAGCAAGAGATGGCAAAAGTACATTTTTTTAAAAAAAAGAGTACTACTGGTTTCTTTTCTCGTTTTACATAAAATGGCTTTGAAATTAATTGCAGATCTGCCATTCAAATCATAGCTGCATATTGCTTTCATGAACTAGCAACAGTTAAATTATAGCCTGAGGCTGATTTGGCCCCTCCCAGGGAATACAGGGAATACTGCCGTGCAAATGTGCCCATCCCATTCTGACAGATTTATCTCACAGAAACAGGGACAGTATTGTGGATGCATGAAACCTGAAAAGAAGTGAGTGAAGGACTGTAAAAACTATGTACATGTAAAGGAACTAGTACAAAAAGATTAAACAAGGTGAAAACAACAAGGACAATAAAAAAAACGTGATGGAAGAGTGAGGACAAATTGGATGTATTAAAGTATGCTTCACCTTTCCAAATATGATATCAACAGTCTAATTTTGCAAAGCCATGCCTATTTATGCTTGGTATGCCTGCGAGACTTTATCTGAGACTCTTGACAGTAGTACAGATTTGGTTGACTGTTAGCTAAAAAGATGTTGGTGATGAATTCGCTGCCCTGTCATCACTTGATCCTGGCTTATACCTATATTTTTATATAGCATATTCTACTCCTCAGGAAGGGGGTGGGTGTGGTTGTCTGTTTCCTTTTTTAATTTTTTCTGTGTTTAACATTTTAAAATACAGACTTCACGAAGAGAAAGTGGAGGATGGAGAATTCCCATAATTTTCTCAGAAGAAGGATCAGAATGATAATGAGAGTGGCTGAATGCTGCATGTGTTTGATAAGACGGCACACCAGAATATGAATTTGAATGTTTCCCCATGATTAACGTAAAACAATAATAGCAGTATTTGATCTATAACAACATGGTGGACATCATTTAGTAGTAGTTACTTAAAAAAAGGGTTTTAGTTACTTTTATTTTAGTTATTCATTAGTATTACTTTCCATGTGTTTTAATTATTAAATAATGGAATTCTAAATCAGATTTGTAAATTCATTCTCATTTTTGTCTTTATTCTCATCATACACAATTATGGTCTTTAATAAATAAACTGTCCTTCCGCAAAAAAAATACTTTTTAATACATTGAATTATGAGTCTGATGGACAAAGGAGGTTACATGGCTCAAGCAAAACTATTATTTCATTTTATATAAGAACTGCAGGACAAAACAACTGTTTGTAGTATACTGTATATAACAATCTTTTCCCTATGACTCTTACCAGAGTTGTTGACTTTAGGTTCACAAGGTGCTGAAATGTGGATTTAAAGCAACAGTCAAAATAATAATGAACATTTCTTAAATAAATACAAAAAAATGTTTTTGTAATGTGATTTTTTACTTTGAGGATCAAAAACCAGCAGTTCTCTCACACTGCAACTCATAACAAGCTACCCACTGAAACTAAGGAGGTGTGAGCCTGGCCAGTACCTGGAGGGGAGACTCCTGGGAAAGGTTGCTGCTGGAAGAGGTGTCAGTGGGACCAGTTGGGAGTGCTCATCCTGTGGTCTGTATACTGTAGGTCCTAAAGCACCAGTATAGTGATGGGGACATTTTAGAGTAGTTCTTCATAACTACATAACAATATCAAATTAAATTCCTGTTTATGCTTGTGATGTGAAATGTTTGTTTTTATTTTGACATTATGAAAAATATTATTTTTTGGATTAATTAAATATTTTTGAAAATGTAGTTGGCTTTAATGCGAAATGTCTGCTTGCTCACAATCCATTAATTTAACTCATTTTTGAACATATTCTAAGATAAACTATTCAGCGTTATTTTGAGCATTTCTCTATTATATTCTTATCCTTTCCACACACACAATTTCTGTCGACAGGAATGTATTTCATCAAATTATATTAGTTGTGAGGGATTCAGCAGAACTCAGTGGGACGTTATAAACCAAAACACATTTCACAGTGGCATATTCTCCTGCATTTTTATATCATGATTAGCATTTCTCATCTGCAGACCAATAAAGAAAATCCAAACAATTCTAACTAATGCAGAAAACAAGAATGATAAATATACAAGACTTGCAATATATTTTATTGGTATTTAAATGCATATAAACACTACTTTTATTGAACTGGGCATTCCCATTGCTGACAGTCCCATATTTCTGTATCTTGCTTCTGTTACAGCAGTAGTAAACAGATACACCAGTAGTAAAAGGCCATCAAAATTTAAAAGATTACACCTGTAACCATGGAGAGTTTTGATAAACCATGCTAAAGTTGCATAGATTCTCCATGCACATTACTGTATGTTTTTAAAAGCACATTAATCAGTAACAGTAAAATCACACATTAATTACACATTATACATTAATGTGATAGATTTTTTGGGAATAATGAGCAATACCACTGTCTTTACTCTTTTACTATTTGTTTTCTGTGCATTCTGGACAAGTAACTGTCTCACTGGCTTTAAAGCCTGATTTCAGATGTTTCAAAGAATATGGATCAACAATGTCTTTTCTAGCATTAACCAGAAAGAGTTTCATTTTAATGGAATCCATCTAACATTTTCTAACATTCTCACTAGTGTGGAACAGAATTCAAAGTGCTTTACATTCTCGTAGACCACAACCTGAATGGGAAGGCCTTACTTTGATCCATGGATGGTCAATGGGAACGTTATCTTAAATTTGAAATATAACCGTGCTCTTTCCAACACCTCATATGCTTATAAGAAATGGCAAGAAAAAGTGCATCTCATTTACAGTAATTAACTTCTATGGTATCACAAATAAAAAGAAATGGTAATTGTTAAATTGTTACTTCTTGTGTAAACACCAAACAGGGGTCATGACAAGTTCATTTTTAAGAATGAAGTTGATTACACATACATTTGGCGAGTCTTTCTCCTGAAACTGAATCTTCCTGAAGAAGTATCTCAGGGGTGGAAGTAGTGTTCAAGAAAGAAGAGCTGTGATGCACGGCTCCTGCTGTTTTGCTTAGCTCTTAGCTGCTGCCACCCACATAATTGGGGACAATGATATTGGCCCACTTGTAAATGACAGGAATAAAGAGAAGAATGGATCCCAGAACTGAAACAAGGAGAAATGTCCAAAGGAACACTCGATCCAGCACCTGCGCCACAAACTTCCAATCTTCTACCACCTGAGTAAGAAAAAATTACAACATTAGAAATCATTAGTTGTCATTTTATTCCAGCCTTGAATTGAATTTATTCTTCACCAAGTTGGAATACAAAATATCAAGAATTAAAACTAAATTCTGGAGGAAAAATATATTACAGGATTAAAATATTGATCACCAGTCTTCACAAATATCAGAATACTACAAAAACACTGAATTGTTTTAGTGGAGGTATTTTTAATGTTTTAAATTAAAAGAAATATTACAACAGTCAAATGTTATAAGAGTCAAAACAAGTCTACATTTTCTGTAATTTTCTTTATATGGTTCACTATGGTTCTTTATATGGTTCACTATGATTAATTTGCTGTGGTTAATGCCTTTAAAAAAGGATAGATGGTTGGATCTTTCCCTTCTTAATAGAAAACAAAAGTTTCAAAGCCCCATTAATGTAAAATAAAATGTGGAGACAAAACCAATTTTATTAAGTATATTTCTATAATCTAAAATTTTGCAGTGAAGGGTGTTCTGGTTTCTTCCCACAGTCCAAAAAATACAGGTAGGTTTACTAGCTTTTGGGATAACGTTTGAGTGTGTGTGCCCTGCGCTGGACATAAAGTCAGGGGTAATTTATTACTCCTTTTAAATTAAGCTAACCCACATCTCTAGATTTATGTTCCTTAATTCTATATTTTATATAGAGATGTGCACTGGCTTGGAAGATTCAACATACATATACTGTACAGTATATGGTATCTAATTTTCACTTCAAAGCTCCACATAAAGTGGAGCCTCAAAAATCAAAAATTTTTGGAGTAATTAAAGTCAAGGATGGAAAACATTAATATCACATATTTGCAGTATTTGGCAAAATAAAAAAAGGAAAATTCAAAGCATGTACATTTAAGAACAGATGCAATGCCCTTCAAACTGCTTTCAAAGTGTTTTGCCTTCAGTCAAACTAGTGTTTCTATCTTTTGAAAAGTATTTTGTTATCTGAATTGGAAAGGATGGCACTGCAGCAGTTCTTTGTTTTCTTTGGCGTCACATACTGTACCTCACGGACTTCATTCTCCTTCACCACATGGAGAGTGATGTAACGAATGGAGTCCAGTGCTGCCTGCAGGTTGTATCGGGAAGAGGGTGTTTCGAACCCAGGACTTTTAACATCTCCACCTGCGGCTGTTGCATAGCGGTCCACATGACTGCGCATGCACAGGAGCTTGGGCAGGCGGTGCAGGAAGATACGCCGAACCCATGGGGCCATGTCATGGTGGGTGGAGGAGGAGCGGTGGTGGATGTTAATGGCAAAGACAGTGATAACAATGGAGAGGGTGACGAAAATCATGGTGAAGACCAGGTACTCTCCTATCAGTGGAATCACCTTGGAAGAGGAGGGGATGATCTCTTCTATGACGAGGAGGAAGACAGTGAGAGACACCAGCACTGAGGTGCAAAGGGAGATTTTCTCTCCCCCGTTTGATGGCAGGTAGAACACCAGTATGGTCAAGAAGGATAGTCCTATGCAGGGAATGATGAGGAAGAGGGTGTAGAAGAGGGGCAGCCGGCGGATGATGAAGGAGTAGGTGATGAAAGGGTAAGAACAGGAACCATCTGTCCGCACACCCCTGCTGCCTGTGGCCGTGACAATCTCCCACTCTCCATTGTCAAAGTAATCTCGTTTGTCCACATGGAAATCCTCCAGGATGATATCCACCTGGGTACCATCATAGGTCCAGGACCCAAACTTCATTGAGCAGTTCTGCAGGTCAAAGGGGAAGAAAGTGACGTCGATGGTGCAGGAGGACTTGTAGTTGGCTGGCGGTGTCCAGGAAATGGTACCATCAAACTTAACCACCGTCTTGGTGACTGAACCTTCAAACCGCCCATCAGCACTTTGGGAAAGATTTGAAGAGATATTCTTATATTACATCTTAAAATTGCAAAATGTCATAGAAAAGTATACTGAAATCAAGATCAGATTGTATATTTCACTTTAGAAATAGCTCTCAAAGCCCTTTATGTTAGTTGTAAGAAACAGTTACTGTATAAGGATAGCAAATGGCAAAACAGGCACGTACAGTAAGAAGCACAATAGGTTATAGGAGCAGATCCATGGCCATTAGAAAATGAAGCAGACACTAAATAAAAGTCTAGATTTAAATACACTCAAGAAACAAATACATTCTGATATCCTTGGGAATAGAATTCCAGAGCTTTGGGGTATGTCAAGACAATGCCCTGTCACCCCTAGAATGTAAACAAGCTTGGAGGACATATAGAAGATCAGAGTCCGATGAACGAAGGCTGCAAGGTAGGACATAGACCGATAATAAGTCATATAGGTACTGAGGTGCTGAGCCATGCACAGCCTTTTAGGTGAGCATGAGGATTTTGAAGTTGACTCAAAACCAGATAGGAAGCCAGTGCAAGGTGCAAGGACTCCATGACGGGACTAATTTGATCGTTTGCACACAACCTGTTGTTTTTGCTGATACCAGATGAGAGACAGTGATTTGTTAATAAATGTAATTTGTTCTTACTCCTCTCAAAGTGCAGAATTAATATTCTTGTGCTGCTTGTCTTGCGCAATTAGATAAAGCTTCTCTAGAAGTAACCAGTCTGTCTTTATGACCTACTGAATGTCTGCCCTGTTCATTTTGCTCTAAGTAGAAAAAATATTGTTAATTTCTCCCATTAAGACTCACTGACTTCTGCCACATTACAAAACTAATTATGTGACCTTACAAGAGAAAATGGCACTCTTTGTAATGCAGCTTCGTCATGCTCTTTAGACTTATCTGTACTCACTACATTTCACATCTCTCTCTTAAAAGCAGCAATCTGAGCTGAGGAAGTGTCATCCTGAATGCACTCATAGATGATAATTTCAGCAAATTTATTAATATCTAAATGTAAGTAGCAGAAATTTTGAAAATATTTTATTTAACTTATTAAATTAAATAATGAATTTCATTAAATTGAAGTGACATGTTTACTTTGGATTCTGTATATAAGCAGAAGTTATTTTGTAGACGGTAGTGGATTTAATGTTATAAAGTGGTATGGAAAAATGTTTTCAATGTTTACCAGAAAAATATAAAAAATGAAACCGAGATGAAATTTTGCAATACAATAAATTCCCTTCCAGGACAATACTGCAGGTAGACAACTGAGGTAAATGTTACTCTCCCCAAGGACTTGCGAATATGATTAATTCTAAATATAGAAGAAATAACATGGTAAGAAGTAAGGTACTCACTTGTCATACAGAACAATGTCAGGGATCCAGATTGAATCAGAAGGAACTCGGATTGAAGTTATTCCCAAGTAGTCATCAGGATTCCACCGCAGCTTGACATCTACCCATTCCTAACCAAAATAAGTATAAGATAATTTCAGCGGTGAGATATGACCACTGCCGAAGCATACATTCATGGGATATCCATGAACCAGCTCACTCAAAGGAGAAGGTGCTTTGCGATAACCCATTAATTGCTAAATGAGATTGATCTTCTGGTTTTTGCTTCATTACCTTTCTGTGATGTCAGTACTGCTCCAGTGGTTGATGAATTGTTAGGCTATTATCAATATACAGTACATGTTGACTGTCCGCCTGTTTTAATTGGAATATATGTGCTAAAATGTATGTATGAATTATCTATATGATAAATAAGACAGATTAGTTTCCTACAATGAAGTCATGTAGTCAACAGATGAAGCAAGTATTGGCCACCATAAGAAGTGTTGTCTACTGGAAGTATTAGAAGACAGAGGTCCTTGTGATAAAAAATCTGGTGTACATTTAACATCCCTTCATTCTATTAAAAATGCTGTAACACTTCACATACCGAGCAAATATACTGTAGTCCTTATAAACATTTAGCTCACTTAAAACTCTGAGATTTAATCTCACTAGATTTTGTATTTCATGACAATGAATTCAACACATGCTGAAATGAAAGAGAATATGGATTTGCAATCAAAGCATTTTATTGACAAATCTTGCTTCCTTTTAAGTGGTATCTGTCAGTGTTCAAGGGTTCACATGTGGCAGTCCCCTGAAAGCAAGTCAATGATCACAGCAATTTTTAGAACACAACATGTCATGTTCAGACTCCATTCAGATTTGCATGCAGATAACCACGTCTGCACAAGTCAAATAATTCGTCTGCACAAGTCAAATAAGATCAAGAAGAAAATCACATCGATAAGAACAATATCTAGTCACAATGTTATTTCCGTCTACACTGTAATTATAACATCACATTGTTATATTTGCATTTAGTTAATTATTAATGTTTTGTTTTTTTCTTCAATAGTTCCATACGATTAATTAATCAAGAGCTCAGCAGGAATGAAGACCAGAATATGTGGGAAGAGTGGGGTTAAAACAGGACCAATATTGGAAAACACTGCCTTGTAATATCCCCAAAAGAGCATATTCACCCATGTGGGTTAAGAAAACACAAACTGCTCTGCAATGCTCAGTATTTCACCTTACATGATCATCTGGCCTTTGCAACTCAGTTTCTACCATCCTGTCATAAATATTGATGGTAATGATGTGACACTAACCATGTATAATAAACTATCTCAATTTGTTACATTGAAAAAAAAATCCACTCAGTTCCGATTTGATGTTAATTTGTCTGCAGTAACCGAATGACATGATTTACACAAAGGGTACGTGTTTAATCAGATCTGTGTGCAGGTATATTAACTCACACTGATTGCAGCCGGGAGTGCTTTTTGTACAGATTTGCTGGAGGTGGTTTGAGAACAAAAGTTTGAGTGGTATAATGGAAAGACAAAGCTGGATGTTAAAGGGATGACAAACCAAGGACTGTCCATCTGTCTGCTTGCATGGGCAGTGTGTTCCCCTGCAGAGCAGGACCCTGTAAACTTGTGACCCCAGGCAGTGACAGGCAGGAATAATGGCAATGCAGCCTGCTTAGTGCAGCACTGTTTCATGGCTTGTCGTAAATCTGTCAGACATGGTGCCTGCACTGCAGCAGCTGTGGAGGCGTGGATTTAGACAAATGTGAGAAAGGAGAGCTAGAGAAGGGGAAGAGAGAACTTAACGCAAATAACAGTTTATCAAGGATATACTGTATAGATCAACATTTCAGACATAAATGTTCCATCTCTAACACTGTTACTCCCCAGTTTTTTAAGGGGAAAACGCTATGAAACGTACTGTAAAAGACCACTTGCTCATCCTACCAAGTCGTAGTTAAGAGTTTAAGTGCAACATACTGTACATATACGTATACCATTGGTGGTCTTCTGCAGGACTGCAAAGACATGACACCGTGGTTTAAATTAGTGAAAAAATAAGATAAATCAGTAATCTTTTATTTTGAAGTGTAAAAAAGAAAACATTGGTGATTAACATACTAAAACATAATAGCAAATGAATAAATGTTTTGTCAGAATATGTTGCTGCTTTTTTCATTTACCCTTTTATATATTTATAGAGGCACAATGGCTAATTGTGTACTTCCTGTGGTATCATACATTCTTTATGTCTGTGTGTGTACACCACTAATTTTCGTACAATGGTTTTCCTATAGCTTATTGTTTAAAGGTTTTCATACTGATTTGAAAAATTATAAAAATGCTGCTGTTACAGACAAAGGTATTCACTCCCTTCCATAAACTATTAAAAGCATGCAATGTGCAGTGAGAATAATACAGCAGATGATAAATATTCTAGTCGAAGACAGTTCTTACCTGTTTCAGCCAGACATTTGTTGTCATCAATTGGTTTTTCTCATCCTGTGTCAAATTAAGCACGTTGAAAAGTAATTCATATAATGATATATACAGTGTATGTGTGAAATGGCCACAATTTGTATATTCATCTACTGTAGAAGTTTATCAAGCCATTTAACAATGGCTTTGTATCTGTAACTAAAATGTTTTGATACATACTGTATATTAATTTATTTGCATGAAAATTCTTAAGTGAGCCAACTTTCTAAAAAGGTTGAAAACATGAGGTTAGTGTTCTGGTATTATCATCACTAGTGAAACCAAGGGATAATATTTACAATAAATACTATTACAAAATATAAAAAAATAGCTCTTTCTTGTTAAAATAATACTGTAACACTTTAAAAATAAAAAAATATTAAGGTCCTATAACCTTAGGTAGAAACCATAAACATAGTGTATAAAATTCAGATTATTTTTACTTTTCTTTTCACCATCAACAATTAATCCTGTTAGATCAGTGACTAAGCCATTATCAGTTTTATAGATGATGTTCTCTATAACAGACATAGACATTTCCATACCCACAGATTCTGGTATACACAGTAAAATGTCTAGTCTAAATCAAATTAGATTGGATTATTGAGCCTAATAAGGCTGAACTCCTCTAATTTTCTTTAATGGCTAATTAATTCTAACATTAAGTGATCTCTTTTCTTGCATTCACTTCTAAGTGATTCATGACCTATACAATATAACATTTAAGAAAATGTTTCTGTGGATACAGAACAATCAATAACATATTTTATTCTATCAATTAAAAGGAATGAATTAAAAGTGAAATCAAACTGAGCTGCAAATCTGGCCCATGTCTAATGTTATAATGTATTGCTTAATTAATGCTCCAAAACTGCAATATAAAAGTTCCATAAATGTTTTAAACATTAGAAATACGGTGTTACGAAGTACCTTACTATAAAATGTTAATGAGTAACCTAGGTTGGAGACAGAAAAAAACAGAAACACAAGCAAAATCTTGGAGAGAGATATTCATATTTTAAAGCACAAGGTCAATCAAGACCTCACAGATGGTCATGTCTCATCTCCTGTGGCTAATGTGGAAATGTGAGTTAGTAACCTAGATCATAATAGTGCCTTCACTCTTCACAGCAGGACCATCTGTGATTGACAGGCTGGGGCTGGCTGACAATGGCACAGCGAAGGAGGTTAATAGGATAAATATCACATCTGTAACTAGCAGATCTGTATCACTTCTGGTTCACAGCAAAATTAAAGTTCAGTTACACTAATCTCTTTTGCAGTTTTTGTTTGATTAAAAATGGCTTTAAAATGTAATTCAATTCTTCCATGTGATGAAATTAGTGCTGTCTGTGGCATTCTGGAAAATAGAGGGACAGAAATTTCAGATATGAAATGGTTTCAAAACCAGCATTACTATTGCAGCTAACACTGGGCAGAATAAGAAAAAACACTGTTTTCTCTGTCATTCCAGCATATCCTTTTTGTTTCCAGCATCCCATTCTACCCTAACTCACACTGAATGAAATGTTATGTAGTCTGAGCTGTCATTTTCTCCCTCCACCTCCCTCGGTTAGCATGGAGAATTCTGATTTGTTTTGCAAAAAGTGAAGCAGTCATTGTTACTCCCTGTCTTGTATATTTTTGATTTTGCCATAGTGAAATCGACACACACAGCTCAACAAGCCAAACAACAACACACGACTATGTCATGTCTGTCATTATGAAAACGTTACTGGCTCTGCAACCAGAAAATACTCACTACATCAACAAGTTGAGAGATCGCTAGCCCAAACTTGACCCTCACTGTGCCATTCAGGTGTTCCACTGGCCTCACCCACTTCTGATAGTTCCTGAAGAGTTCCTTGAAAAGCTTATCTTCAGTCTTTGCATAGGAAGACAGGTTGGAAATTCCTTGTGGAGAACACATAAATACAAGCTTTAGAGATTTTTCTACTTAGACCACTCAGAGAAGAACATAAATAATACCCCCCAATAATTTAATAAATACAGAGAAAATCTTTAAAGCATTTCATCCTCTGAATAATTTAGGATTGAAAGAAAAACTCTTAAAACAGTTTCATATTTGCTGTACATCCATTATGTCATACCTTTCTTCTATCACACATTATTTTCAACCTTCATTGTTGAAATATTTTTTTTACAATTTATTAATGTCATAAATTATCTTAAGCTTGGGTATATACAGTACCTGCCATTTCCACTCTCTGAAAATGCTGACTCTACAGCAATTGGATACTATGTGGAGTGGAAGTGATGAACCCGAAATCAGAGACATAAATAATGTCTGAGTTGGTCCATAATCCATGATTAACTGTTATTCACTGTACATGGTTTTGACTATAGATTTTGTCCTTCTCTAGAATGGATTTCCCGTATCCTGTCTCTCTCTAGGGACTAGAATCCTAAAAGGATTTATACATATAATTAAGTCAGGAACTGTTGAAGACCTGGAAAACACATTAAAATTGAATAATGAAGTAAAAAAAGACGAATTAAGTAAACAAGAGCTCAGG